CTTTCTCCCAGAAAATGTGCGGACAAACTGATACCAATCACGCGGCACCATGATTCTGTACATATCACTAATACTGTTTTTGTTAACTGAAGAGCTAAGTCTTTTTTCGCTCTTTCAATACGAGCACGATCGCTGTCACATTCTAGGCGGATATGGCCAGGTAGTAAAAATTTTTGATCAATTACCAGAATGGTTTTCTACTTGGTCAGAACATAACAAAACATGGCGGCAATGTTAATGTTTCGGTTTTGTTTGGAAAATCCATATTTTTTTTGAAAACACACGAGGTAACACATGATGAAAACGCATTCATCAGAACCTCTGCCTGCATCTCTCTCACTCTACATACAACAATAAGAAGAATCCTGGTCATTTGAACAGTTTCTTATAGTGAGGTTGTACATGGATAGAAACCTCTTATAATATGCAATATTTGATGATAAGTAAGGTACAGGAAGAACCTGTTGGAGATCAAACACCAATAGAAATCTATTCATAGTACTTCGCTAGATTTTTATCATGATTTTTCATACCATAACCCTCTTGGGCCTCTTTGATGTGAGAGTCATGTATATCAGAAGCAATTTGGCGATCAGATTTATTGGTTGAATATATTTTCTTTAAAATAAACTCATCACATTTGTTGCATGTGTCAATAAATGGTTCTTTAAATTTATATCCTTTGGAATTAAACTGTTTTCTAAAAACATCATAGCATGCTGACTTAGTGAGACCATTTTTATTTCTGTGCTCACAGTATTCCTTATACATAATCTAAACATTAAAATTACTTGGTAGAAATACTTTTTAGAGGAGCTAGCTCGCCTATCATAGTGGCTCTCATGTCTAGGACATATGTCTATGAAAGCATTAATATCTTCAATTTCCTTGCTAGTAGTTTTAAACTGTTGTGGGTGCTTACCTCGCATACCTACTTGGATAATTCTAGATGAAGAAGCTTTCACTTTTTGAATAATGACATCCACCTTGCCTCTACTTAAACCAAAAATACCAATGAACATAGTTTTACATATTTCTGTTGTAGTTCCATGATCTAAAGTAACATAGCATGACACAGTCACCAGCCGATCATGAGTAACTCTGGTTTCACATGTATCTTTCTTTTTCCGACTTACTGCTGGTGTAGAAATTCTAATTCTGCCAGCTAATACATGGTCTCTTGCACAAACTGGTAGTTTGTAAAAATCATTAAATATTTTTCTTTGGTTTTCTGATTTAATCTTCTCATCACACTTTCTCTTAATGCAGCACTTTTCAACAGGTTTGAAAATTCTAGATGAAAACAATTTGCCTTTCCTATTTTTATAGTCCAATTCTTGATTTTTTTAAAACTTTTCGGTATCTCTTTTTCTTATACCTTTTATTCTTTTTGCACATACTGTGTTTTACTGCTTCTATAGGATTTTCAGCGTTTTCGTTGTCACCAAGACAGAAATCATACTACTACTACCTAACTTACTTAACTAACTTAACTACTAACCTCAAAATTCTCTGATTGAGAAAGAATTCCGTCTCCCTTCACTGCCAAAGAAACTAACAGTTTTGTCCTGCTACTCACACTAATCTTGTTTTTAGAACTCATAGTCAAGATAGTTTTTACTGTTTACACAATTCAGTCACTAACAACTTGCATTTGAAAAATACAATCAAAACAGTAGTTGAATAGAAAATAACTACTGTGACAGATGACAAAATAAGATATGTGTATTGATCAGCTGATAAAATGGCAATTTCTAACATTAACTGAAGATGACAAAATATGATAAATCACCGTATCACCTTATTTTGCCATCTGTTTAAACTAGGAATATATCATCAGACAAAGACGAAATTCTAGATACGAGCACATAACAGTTACTGCCATCTTTTGTTGACTTACAAATTAAACTTGCAAAAGTAAACAAATGCTGGTAAAAGTACAAATCTAATTTTGCCATCGTACCATGACTGGATTATGTTAAAACCAATGTCAAAATGTTGTTATGCACCTACTTAACTGCTTTTGACATCTTCTAGATTGGAGGAAAATCACATATCACGTTTGGACCAGGGCCATATTTATGTTATTTGCAAAGATTCAACTTATCATATTTTACCATCTGTTAGATCTCCTGTTTTTGAACATGTCCATATGCATAACTCAATTTGGCAAAAAATGTGACTTATTAGCTTGTGTCATCTAGCTACAGATTTTAAGCATCACAAGTCGTAACATTCCATGTGATATGCAGGTTCTATCATTGTGATATGCAGATCATTTTTAAAAAGTGATTAACATTTATAAATAATTTCTGACTTATTGTGCAACTTTCCAAGCAACAAATATGGATAGAAACAAAAATGCCATTTTAAAGGTTTTTATATAAATTTTCTAACTCTTAAATTTCTTTCAAATGCTTCACTTTTTGTTGATAGACGAAAAAAGCAAAAATCTGTCGTTTTTTGACTTAATTTGATACAGTAGACTCGCGATTATCTGAGGTAATTGGAACCGTGACTACCTCGGATTCCAAAAAAACTTGGTTATACCGATAGAAAAATGTGCACCTCCTACGTAAATAATGATTAATTTTTTTATTTTAATAACTAAAAACTAATATAAAAGTACTATAAAAGATAAAAAAATTACCTTATAAATGTTACTGTTTAAAAAAGTCTGATTGATTTCTGTTTCAACTTCATTCCTCTTTTTGAGGCGGCAATGTTGCGCCAAAGTTGAAAATGGAATGCGTCTAATGGTGTCGATTCTTCTTCTTGCTCGATGTATGCGAGAGTTGCTTCAAGGGACTTCAATCCATCGGAATAAGACATTTTTTTGAGTTATATCATCTGTATCTTCTTCTTCATGGGTGACGTTTAGAACTAGATTGGCAATTTCATCATCTGTCACTTCTATTTCTTCATCTAGATTCATCCAATCGATGATATCTTGGTTTCCGATTGTTTGTTCTACTGGTAATTGATTGGCTAGGTTGGCTATAGAATCAACTTTGCAGTCGTCAGTTTCATTTTTAACGTCTTGTGTTTTGTTTTAACTCTTAAATAATTTTTCCCACGACTTCGGAAAAGTGAACACTTTCACGTCGTCCCAAGCAGAGCAATCCAATAGCAAACATCTTTAACCGTGATCTTCTTCAATGTCTCAATTACAGTCAGCCCTTCATCCAGTTTAGTTAACAGTACCTGAAGAAGCTTCCGCCGATAATTCCTCTTCGTTGCTTCTATAACGCCTTGGTCTAGGGGTTGGATGAGAGACGTCACATTGGGTGGAAAGAACACAGCTCGTATGTCACCACTAATCAACTCACTCGCATCTGGGTGGGATCGTGCGTTGTCCAACAACAATAAAGCTTTTAGGGACAGATTTTTGTTTATTGGGTAGGCATCAATGACTGGCACGAAGTCATTAAAAAACCAGTCCTTAAAAGTGTTACAGTCCATCCATGCATTGCTTTGGTTGCTATAGATTGAAAGTAAGCAATTTATTTGGACATTTTGGAATGCCCTTGGATTTCTGGATTTTCCAATTAAAAGAGGTTTTAATTTTAATGAACCAGAAGCATTGCTGCAAATCATGGTTGTGACTCTCTCTTTGCTTTTTTTGTAACCTGGTGCACTTCCTTCATATTTAGCAGCTAGTGTTTTCGATGGAAGCAAGTTAAGGCCTGTCTCATCACAGTTACATATTTGGTCTGAAGTTAGTCCATCTTTAAGGATAATGTCTTATCATATCTCTAATAAAATCAACTGAGAATATTTGAGCGCAAAATACTAAGGAAGATATTTGGACCAACCCAATGCAGCGATGATTGGTGGAGAATGGTAAAGTCACAAAGACTAAACTGGCTTGATCACCTAGAAAGAATGCCAGATAATCGAGCTGTTAAAGTAGTCCAGAGATGGAAGCTCCAAGGAAACAGAACAAGAGGAAAGCACCGTAAAAGATGGATAGACGACGTAAAGAGGGATCTTACAACCATGAACATTAGGCAGTGGCGAAGGAAAGTATCCGACAGGGCAGAATAGAAGAACATTGTTAAGCAGGCTAAGACTCACAAAGGGTTGTAGCGCCATTAGAAGAAGAAGAACCATCTCAGTTTAGAACTAAAACAAAGAATGATTAAGTGCTATGTTTGGTCGGGAGTTTTGTATAGTGCAGAAGTGTGGACGCTAAAAGTATTGATCCTGAACAAAATTAAAGCATTGGAAATGTGGAAAACTAATGAAGTACTAAGGGGCGTCAACAAAGATAGAGAACTACTAAAGACTGTTAAACATCGAAAACTGTCTTAGGGGAAGTCGATATAAAATATTACAACTGATCCTTAAAGGTAAAATAGAGGACCATATAGGTGCAGGAAGAAAACAAGTTTCTTGGTTAAAAAACATTCGTGAATGGGCTCAGATATCAAATGCGGGGCAATTATTCCATATTGCAGAAGATCGAGAAGTCTTCGCAATGGTGATCATAAACGTAGGATAATTCTGATATTTTATAAGAAGAAGAAGAAGAAGAAGGCGGTGACCAATTTCTGAGAATACCGATTCGACATCAGCTTGACATAAAGCATACCTTACATACAATTCTCTTCTTATCAATAATCCACAATTTTCAATGGATTGCGCATATAAGAGCTGCCGATATAACTTAATATTTAATTTGGACTTAAAGTCCAAAAAATCGACTGCAGGAAACATATAGGGTATTGTTATTTTTCTGTATGAATCTTCTAGAAATTATATTGTTTTCATAGTGAATAATCTTGTATTTTGTATTTGTATGTTAAAATAAGAAGACAAATTTATCTGTAATAATTATTGCATTAATTTGGTCATCCACTTTTTTGTTTTTTGATCTAATCCAATACTGAATTCAAATTTTGGTTACCATATAACTTTTTAACAATATACGATTCTGAAATTATACATTTAAGCATTGATCTTTCATTAATTCAATTAATAATTCCATGTATTTTTAGATTACTCATAAAGTGCCTGCAAACGCTCTCTACAGTGTTCAGATCCAAGCTCTCACCAGAAGCAACTTAACAAAAAGACTAATCAGGGGAGAAATGTCTATTCCACATACTATTGAAATAACTAAGAACTGTGATAAAGTTGCAGATTATTTAGCAGATGCTACAAGTGAACTGGGATATGGTATTCTTGCAGGAGTTCTTTGTGCATCTTCAGCACTTATAGTAGCTGGATTAGCATTTTTGATTTATAGGTAAGCATATTTTTTTATCAAATTGATCATATAATATGTACATTAGTTATAGTCAAGACGTGATCTATTTTGAATTTGACATTTTCCATAAGACTAATTTTTGATGGAATTACCTCAAGATATACATTGTATCGATAATCATGATATGCGCCATTCGCAAACCTTTTGTTTTTTTTTTATTCAAAATCTGAAAAAATCAAACATTTTTACTTTTTGTGCCCATATTTTCGCCTATAATTTTCAAAAATTTACAAAATTATGCTGGGCCCAAAATAAGTACTATAAAAATATTTTTTTACATAAGGTAAGGACGCCAATTAAGGCCACGTTTAGGTTTAAATGTCTGTAATATTTTATTGCCTAACATTTTAGCTATCGAATTGCACGATAAAACACTTAATAAATAAAGAAAGAAATATAAAATTTTAACATTGAATAAATCTTGAATATTTGTCCTTATTTGGAACTGGTAACTAAATAAGGCCAGTTTCATTTTTTAAAGGATTTTACGTGGATAATAAATTTTAAACCTAAGAATTAAAGAATAAATACAAAGGTAAGTCAAAGAAACTTTAATTCATATTATAAACAAAAATTTGTCAATACATTACTTAAGTACATATATCGCCAAATTTACACACATCGAGGACATACAAATATATCCTTGTCGTCTTTTGTTAATCCTATACATTCCTCGTGGATATACTTATTACAACAAACACCCTTGCGCATATCAGCCACTCTATCCTCATCACAGAAGAAACAGTACCATGAATCTTTTTAAACTTGGTTTTGGTTTTGCTGAGCTATGAGATTGTGCACTAAATAAATCTCTGGTAACTTCTTGTGCTTTCGCATAAATGGCCTGTCGACGTTTTTTTATTGATACTTTTAACTCCGGTGTAATCAGCAAACTACTGAACTAAAATTTGCATTTAGTTCTTCATGTGGTTCTGTCTCACATATTTTTGCAACCTTATTTTTATCATATTTATTTGACGTGTAAACTGCATTACTATAATCCTCGCTGAAAGCTGTACCACTTATGTAAGACCCAGATGAGGCATTGTCTTCATCTGAGAAGTAAGTTTGAAAAACTTTGGTCAGTCATTTTTTTTTTGGTAATTTTTCTTTTCTCACTACTCGAGGATGCTTTGCTTTTATTATTTTTGTTTACACCGCTGCAGGATAGCTGTTCTTCAAAATTTGTATTCTTTTTGCCATTTGTTTCAATTTCTGGTTCGGTTGTAGGATTTTCTTGAAAATCTTCGGCGATTATTTCAATCTCTCGTTGTGTCAGACAACTAGATGCAACGGCAGTATCCGGAATCAGAACAAATATTTTTTTGCGTCGTTGCGTTTTTGCAAACCGGCGTAAATATTTGCCCAAATCTTGCTCGGATGATGGTACGTTCGTTATTATGGTTCACCCAAAAATTTAACACCTCCCCATCCCAGTAAGAGTCAAAACTCCTGAAGACTGCTTTATCGAGTGGTTGAAGCTCATGGGTGGTGTAGGACGGTAGACAAAACAGAGTTACACCTTTTTTTTTTATTGCAGCTTCTACAATTCTAATGTCTAAATGAGATTAAGCTCCATCAGAAATTAAAAGGACTGGTCCAGGATTGTTGAATCGGCAGAAGTGATCTAATCGCTCTATAAATGCATCTGCTGTCATGCTTTCATACTTCTTTTCTTGATCATTATAATTTTTGTTTCTGTTGGAAGATTACAATACCATTCTGGTTTAACTCGTTGCCCTTTCATAATGATAAGTGGCGGAATACTATGCTATGCTATTGCCACATGCCACGATTGTTATATTTTCGCCGTGCTCTGGTGCAACGATATGCAGCCTTTTAGCACCTCTACTAGCCAATACAGTTTGTTAGTGATGCAGTGTAAGGTGACATCCTGTTTCGTTCATGTTGTAAATTTGAGCAGGTTTCCCTGCGAAGCCTTTCTCATATAAAATCTGTCGAAGTTTCTCGAAATAGTCACTAATAGCTGTACGATTCAATTTTTGGACTCTGGCCAAATTGAGTTTTTGAGCCCGATGCTTTGTTATGTCAGGATGCCTAGAAAAAACAATTTCGTCCAGTTTTTTTCCAGCTATCTCTTTTTAACCAAGAATGAATGCCTTATTCCTGTCTCTTTGACCAAAGCATACACGTTTGTTCTAATATTTTGTGGGTTACTGGCATACCCACGTCACACAATCTTCCTATACGCCTAACGAATTCATTTTCCTGAGGTTTTGTAAGTATTGGAGGCCGCTTAAGTCATTTTTGTGAATTACCAGTAGCCAGATGGTTACGTAACGTACGCCGAGGAATATAAAATGTAAGTGCTGCCTTATGAACAGCCATCTCATTTCGTACGGCATTCATTGCAGCTTCAATGGCCTGCTCGGTCCACTGTACCCTTTTCCTGGTGTACATATCTGCAAAGAAAAAATATTTTAAGCGATTAGGTAAAGAAATTGTTTATAGTGATATAAGGTTGAATGCACGAATAAATGAATTATCATTCTGTCTCCGGCTTCTATACACCATGTAGCTTCGCCTATTTTCAAGATTTTAAAATGTTTGTTTGTCTTTGTGTAGTTTATTGTTATGTTCCTTTTTATATTCATGACATTCTACTCTTGTCAGATAGGCCGCAATTAACGAAATGCCCCTGAAGATGATCTAGTGATCGAAAGGACTTGGGCAAGATTAAATTAATACTGTGCTCGATATTTGCCTTTTACATTATCAAAATTGTTTATAATGTCAACCAGCTCTTAATAAGGCCAATCAATTGGCCTTATTAGAGCACTGTCTACTTTTCTATTTAACATAAAAGAACAATAATAAAAAGCAATATAGCGAAAAACAGTACCAGTAACACGTGTCTAGTATACTTTGCGCACCTGTTTGATACTACCGACTGAATGGCGTAGACGATTTTGACTACAGTGATATCTAGTATATAATATCTATATTTAAGGAAATATTTACAATTGGCCTTATTAAGACATTGGCCTTATTTGGCGTCACTACCTTATAAAGAAAGTTTCAATCTTTCAAATGCACTTTAAAAAATTGGAATCGATCAAATAGAAGGGCCTAAGGAATTTTTTAAAATTATAATTTTTTGGAATTGAAAAACTGTTAAAATAAGTTAACTTTAATATGCAAATTCTTTTAAAAAGTTATTCTTCAAAAAAGCTCTGCATGGTCCAAATCGTCCATTCTATACAAGGTATGTGAAAAAATATGAATTTTGCTTAAGAGTAAAGTACCTTTATGATATTGAAAATTTTTATTATGAAAAGTTGTTCAGAATTAGAAACTATGTTTTAATATTATATTACATCCTTCTAATTATTTTTTTTTCATTCCCTAAATTCGTGTTTTTTGACGTACCTCGTATAAGATTGAAAAAATGTATTATCTGATGATTGCATCTTAGGTTTTATACTATGCAGAGGTTTTTATGGAGAATAACTTTTTTCCGTAAAATTAATAATAAAAGAGTTAAAATATTTGTAATAAATAACAATTATGTTGGGTATCAGTAATTTGGAAAAAAGTTGCATTTTTTTTTTAATTAAAAGGCTGTAGTTGCAGATTTAAACATATTTTTTAATTCCAAACAACTTTCTTAATAATAATTTTCGATATTGTGAAATATAAAGGTACTTTACTCTCGAGTGCAATTCATATTTTTTGACATATCTCTTATTATATTGATAAAATTTTATATCTGATGGTTGCATCTTAGATTTTGGACCATGTAGAGCTTTTTATAAAGAATAAATTTTTAAAAGAATTTGCATTTTAAAATTAATTTATTTCAGAATTTTTTGCTGGTCATTTGATTTTAAATTCCAAAAAATGTTTATAATTTTAAAAAATTCCCTAAGCTCTCCTAGTTGACCGATTGCAATTTTTCAAAGTGCGTTTGAAATATTGAGCTATTCTTTATATGTAAAAAATATTCGACTATTTATATTGCTTATTTTGGGCCCAGCATAATTTTGCGAATTCGCATTTTTGCGGATTTTGGATTGCCAAATTATTATACAAAAATATTAAACCAAACCTAACCAAATTAAGCACACGTTTTAATCGCAATATAAGGTTTTTCTAGGCGGAATATGATTGCTGTAAGTTATGTTAAGAGGTCGAAAAATGCTAAAAGAAAAACTCCATTTTTGCACTTTTTTTCCTGTTTCCTTTTATACTGTTATTTATTTAAACAATAAACATTAAATTTTTAATTTATGGCTAATCAATTATTATGTAAAATTGAAAAATGACTCTTTTACCGTACATAATTTATTTGTAGAAGCAATATCTCTTGAGGTATGATCGAAAATATATGCGCAAAAAGCAAAAATTTTCAAATTTTGTTAAATAAAAATTAAGCATAAGTTTGCGACTGGCGCGTATCGCGATTATTGATACAAAGTACATCTTGAAGTGATTTCAGCAAAAAATATACTCCTATGGAAAATGTCCATTATGGTGTGGTTTTCGACAGATTCCGCCTGAACTATTACGTATTTGCAGTTCATAAATAATGTTCTATCAAAATAAAACATAAAAATTAAATACTTATTTTTTCTTTTGTCCATTTTTTCATGAGTTTTTTAAGCTCATCTAATTAAATAGCGCCTTTGGTTAATATTTTTTATAAATATGTAGATAAAAATAATATAATAAAATATTTTATTTGTAGTTAAATTTCATCGTCATTAGTAACACTTGATCCCTCTACTTCCCCTAGTATATTTTTCCAATCGTTTCTGTCCATTGGCTACCGTTGTCAATTTGTTGCGCCAGTTTTCCTCTAAACATCCGTTTCGTCTTGGCCAGTTCTAGCCATGTTTTCCACAGATATCGATCGTAGTGCCCGTTTGGCAGTATAATTTTTGTTCACTTTCATTTAGAGTGTACCAAATTTAGCAAGGTTTGCGAAACAAATGTGTTTAGTAGCATAAACATTGTCT